GCGTTTATACATATATTATTTTTTAATTAATTAGATATATATTTTTTATTTAAAAGCCGTAATATTAACACTTGACTAGTTTTCAAAGCAATTTCTATAACAATAACACCTCGTAATCTCATTCATAAATGATATAAAATAACTTAAAGAATGTCAGCATGTACATATCTTTCAATTTCCTATTAAAGCAGCATGTGCATTTCAGTTTGTTCAGGTTTTGTTATCTGTGCTTATGTGAAAATTTAAATTTAAATGTTTTAAAATTGTTCACATTGGACGATAAACATAACTTTGCGATATATTTCACTGATAAAAACAACAACAAAAATAAATAGAAATTGATACAAAGACATTCATGACAACATAACTGACCTAAAGATGTTTCGAATATACACAATTTATACACATAAAAATATCACACTGGAGAAATAATAAATACGAATCTGAAGAAAAGCAAAAACAAAATGAAATACACTCAGTCATGACTAAAAATCATGTACATACATATACATACATACATATTTATTTAAGACAACAATAGAAATATATTTACTACTGCTAATAATCAGACAACACACATATTATTTAATAGTTAAAATAGCTTGTTTTTTTTTTCAATAATATTTGTTGTTTCGAATCATTTAAATTTTTTCTTTTTTGTCTCTCCGATTATTTGTTTTTATATTGCAAAGCTCTTTATTTTATATTTTCCCCATATAAGTGCGTATTCAATAAAATAATTACACAAGCCGACAACATTTGAAAAAGTCGAAACCTTTAGTCCAAGTTAGACTTAATCAGAATCTGACCTCAGATTTTTTCCACCACATCTCAAATTTGAGATATTGTGTTCTGAAATTGAAAAAAACGCCATTTTGGGAGCTTTCTTCTTAGAGATATCTTCACCCAAATCTTGAAAACTCAGTGTTTTCGGAATATTCAAAATTAAAATCACGTTCTGATTCAACTTAACGATGTCTGTTCGTCCGTTAACTTCAACGGATTTTCATAAGAAAAAATGTGCGAAATGTACGAAAACTACAATTTTTGTCAATTTATTGTCATGTCATGTTTTAGGTAAAGATATCTCGAAGAAGAGAGATGATATTTCATATGTTAAGCCTTTATTTTAAAGGATTCAGCGTGTCACAATCCTTTATAAAAGTTACTGGGTTAAAAATTTGTCGACCTGTGTTATTCTCCGTTTTTATTTTTCTATCTCAGTTAGTGAGTACTACGTCAGATATTCACAGTCATAACCCATTTGAGCAAATATCTTATTTTTAAAGAAATATATTTTAATCTTTGTGGTTTTATGATTTTACTAGAATTGCTGTTAATATAAAATTAAATTAAAGATTATAAATAAAATATCATTTTTAACTATATAAAAAGTATAACTAGAATTAAAAAAATAAAAAAATATCTTTCCAAAGAAAATAACAATTTACCCTTAATGACATTATTTCTCAAAGCGAACATACCGCATAGAGTATTGATAGCCGTTTGATACCCTTATTTTATTCCAAAATGGCCCCAGTAAACCATTTTGAATACACTACAATAATATATTAATAATATATCCGAAATTTATTTATAACTCTAACCCTAAACTCTAAAGTGTTTTGTTATTGCTTTTTTACTTTTGTTTTACATATTTCATATTTTGTTGTGACTATAGAAATAAAAAAGTTTATGAAAACGTTATTTAAACTGATTGATAATAGAGGTGGGTAAAGGTGCACTATATGGATTACTGACTTATTGTCTACTTAGTTTATTTTTTCTTGAAATGCTAACAGGTTAACTAACAGAAAAAGAGCTTTTTGCTTAAAAATATCAACAATATATTTAATAAATAAGGCATTAAAAACAAACATATAAAAACAAAACAAAGTAAATAATACATGTGTGTTGAAATGATAAAAAATTAATGAATGACTAACAAAACTCTTTCCATCAGCTCCAAGTTTCAACTCGCTATTTGCGATGATATAGAAAATAAGCAATAGATACAAAATTGTGCTTTGTGATACACGTAAATAAGTGTGTCGAAGGTACCATTCGCATTCCAGTAGATGGATGAATAAATAAATAAGTAAAACAAAAACAAAGTGTAATAACAAAATACAAAACGCAATGAATAAAACAGGAATGCAAACAAAAACAGATACACAATTTTCAAAGCCATTTTTGATAAGCTCTATTTAAATTAAACAAATTTATATCAAAACAAGTATGAAATATAGGTTTTGACATGGTCGACCGTATGCTACCCTACTCCAGTTATTATTGAAAAACGGACTTTTTAATAAAGAAAATATTTTTGAAACATTTGTTATAATATTGAAATATCTAAAAGCGTATAATTAATATGAACAAACAGATTTTATGGATATGATTAATTTTCAATTATTTAATAGATAAATAGTTTTCTTCATAAACACTAAAATTTAATTAACTACTTTTTTCATTTCATATATCATTTTAGGTAAGATCTTACCTCAATATTTTGTTATACTCTCATTTTTTTTTTTTATTTATTTTTATATTTATATTTTCTTTGGATGGGTTTTATTTTCTTCGAAGTACCATTATTTAACAAATTTTACAGCGCAATAGATATTCAGCATAAATTCTCTTTCTTCGATTGGACTAAAATAAACTTCAGTAAGTTTTAGACAACAGTTAATATAATTCATCTGAAGCAAATCTATTTATTGTGGACACCACTAATGTACATCCATACGATGATACAGTTCATAGTATCATTTAAATATTTCATTGAATTTTATTCTTGTTTATATACTTGTGTTAATAGAATAATTGTAAAACATATTTACTACTCTATATTTAGTATACATATTAGATAGATTCATCAAAATACAAAATAGGAAACACATTACACAAGTAAATTAAGCTAAACTTGTAGAATAGTAATATAATTGTAACTATTTAGGACAATTCGGTAAAGAAATACGGTACAACATAACATTTAGGCACTTTTATTTTAGCAAATTTATCCACTTTCTCGAAATGTTCAAAGTTTTTCGTTCACTTGAAAATTCTAACTCTAATAACTTCCCAGAAATACGAATTTTTGTATTAACCAATAGGTAAAAAGTTACACTCATTTCAAAATACCCTGTATTACCAAAATGTCCAGCATTTACCCCCTATAACTCCGGCAGTTCTTCACCGATAGTGCTTAAAATTTGTGTCTGGCCTACTACATACATTATTAGTACTACATATGGTGTAAATTTATCCAAATTGATTTTTAGATTGGATCACTTGACATGAAATTGCCCATATATAAAGACGCAAAAATTGCAATAAATTCATGTCAAGAAATAATGTGCGTGATCTTAAGTTCTTGTACATACATATGTATATTTAACCCAAACCAAGGTATTATAATAGTTTACTTCATAACCCATAATCTCTCCTTCAGCAAATTATTTCAAGAACAAATTCTTGAAGATTTCTTATGAATTATACATTTTAGTAAATTTTTTTATTATTCTATTTATTTATTTTTCTACTTTTCTTTTTGCCTCCTTTCAGGTTTAACAGCAATATTTGTTATAAACAAACAAAACAAAAAGACTTTCTTATTTTCACACGATTTCAATATGATGCTTCATTAATCATAAAAAACGAAAATATTTGCAAAAAAATAACTGAGGAAAAACTACAAATAAAATAAAAAATTGTTTAATAATAATTAAAATCATTTAGTGAATAAAAAACACTTTTTTAATACAACAATTCTTTGAATTCTTTGAATGTTGTCTAATTAAGTAGTGTTATTGGATCCGATTATGGCCTTTGGCTAGGATTCTGTATAAGAATGAATAAACTAAACTAATATTTAAAACAAAAAAAAACATATGATAGTTAATTTCACCCCATAAAAACTATGAAAATAAACTACAAAATACAATTTCAAAATCTGGAAATGAAATTCACTTATAAATGTTCCAATTATTACAAAATTAATAAATGATTAAAGCTTTATCAATCTACAACGAAGAAAATGATAAAGTTAAAAAAGTGATCAGTAAAAATCGCATGTAAATATTTTTCTTTACAAAAGAATATGCAACAAAATATTGCTTTTCCTTTTAATTTTTTCTGACTCAAATAACTATTTGCGATTTTCATCAGCTTATATGTTTGACAATTGTTTTGTACTAAAAACAATAACTTCTAAAATAACAACCGCGACTTTGCCTAGACCAACTACAAGATAAAGTATGTATTATATTTTTTCTCCTTTACTAATTTTCGTCTATGTCTTTATATGTTTTGTTTTTGTGTTCTATGTTGTTGCTTTGTATACATTTAAATTCCGTCTATAATATGCAAATATTAGTAAAATTTAAAACACAATGATATAATTAACATAAATAAAATCTAAATACATCTACCTTAAGCGGCCCATTGAAGCCCTCCGATTTGGGCTTTTAGCTCATAATTGTATTAAATATGGACTCAGTTAAGTTTTGTAAAAGTAAAAATTAAAACGGCGGATTTCGTAATGATATGATAAATATATGTATGTATGTATTGCTATAAAAGTAGGCATAATTCAGATTTATATGAACGTAAATCCATGAATTCATTCAAATTTTTTGTACGTTGGTTCATATTTCACCATAGCCTCCTACAAAGTCCTTTTTTAAAAAATAGTCATAACTGGTGTAAGAGGGTACACCAATGTATTTTCATGTATTATGAGCGGGGAATGTTATTTTTAATTGCAATAAATTCTTTTTAAATGTTTGTATTTGTATATGAAATTATAATTTTGTCCGTTTATTATGTGAAGTCCTTAAAAAAATGTATATGTTGAAAGTGTTGAAATGTTGCGTTTGTATATGACTAATGTCCATTTGGACCTCATTCCAAAGTGGGGCTTTTATATTTATATGTAATTGATGTTATGTTTTGTATTTATAACAGCAACAATTTTTCTGTATTTTATATTTGTTTAGAATGGATGACTATGAATATGAGAGGAAACAAAGAAGGGAACGTGAAAAGTCCGAAAGGCAACAAGTTCAAACATCATCATCAAATCGGGAGGTAGCACTTTTTTCAGAACCTCGACGTGTAAATCCGTCCGAAGATGATGATAAGATTTCGGCGAAATTGGGAGACTATTCGAAAGCCAGGGATTTTATTAATCTTTACACGGTGGGAATATCGAATTCGGGTCATAGGCATATGCCAGCTAATGCTGTTTTACCGGGTATAGTGCCAACAAGTTCTCCGCTACCAAATGTAAGTTCTGGTGTGGCGACGTCTGCATCGTCAACAGGTTCCTCCTCATCGTCATCATCGCAGCGTTTGCTTCCACCTCCGCCACCACAAACACAGCAACAATCACAGCAGCCACCACATCACTATCAGCAGCAACAGCAACAATTACGACAAACGCCTTATGTTAAACAGGCTGATAATAAACCTCCTTATAATGGCCGAGGGGGATATCCAGGACAACCAGTAAATCGTTTGAGTAGTGGAATGGCACCACCTAAGGGACCACCGTCCGGTTCATTACTACCACCTGCCACTACACACATGCCAAATGGGCGCCAATCATCGTCGTCAGCCTCTTCCGTTGAGAAATCATACCTAGGACCACCTACAGCATCGTCAAACTCGTCATCGGCGACACACAATGGTCGCTTTTCACAACCATCAATACCAAAACAACGCCAAAAACCATTACCACCAGAGGTAAGTTCCAATTCAATAGTTTTTTTCTTCAGCACAATTATAAAATTTGTATTGTCTTTTTTAGAACGACATCAAAGAAATAATTAATCATGTTACCAATACATTTTGTCCTCCAAAGATGTTAACTGGCATTGATGCAACACCGCACAATACTTTAATGGAGAATTACAATCTCAGTGAGAAGAATAAACACAAGTATTCCTTTGATATTTTAGCTAAAACAAGTATAGTGGAACCTTTGGATTCTCCGCCTCGTAAGCAAATGCCAGCACCTAGATTTGTGCCTCCTTTATCAGCTACATCAACAACACAGATGCCTTCTTCAAAATCAGTCCCCTCCTCCGCCCCCACCTCATCATCTTCCACTTATATAGCTCCTGCCACCAACACAACCGCTCCAGTCGGTCATCTTACATCATCTACCTCTTCCTCTTCTGGGCAGTCTTCATCGTTAATAAGCAATGCTACCATAACATCACCTACAGTGCCACATTCTCCTATCTTATCTCGGCCATCGAAAGAGTCAATGATAAAACCCTTAAAAACGGAAAAGCCAACTCCGCCACCAATAGAAAAGCAGAATTCAACTCTGGAAAATGATTTGGAACTTTCTGACTCGGACGATGATCGCAAAAAACAAAATCGTTCCACAGTGAATTCGAGTGACAGTTCTCCATCAGATTCAAGCGAATCCGGAAGTGATTCCTCAAGAAGTGAACCTCAGCAACCAGCTACAATACCCGCCCCTCACCAGCTCATTAGCCAGCAACAACAAATGACTGTGGTATTACCAACCAAAAAGAAATTAGGATCAGGATCAGCTGGTACAATACCCGGTAGCGCTAGTAGTTGCAGCTCTGGTTTGGGCTCTTCTGCACCTCCTTCGGGAGGTTCTTCATCGTCGTCCTCCAATAAGACACCATCGCCTTCGAATACTACCAAATGGCAGCTAAGCAGATATTTCAATAAGGCGCCTTTACATCAGACACCAACACAAGATGTCGTATCTCCATCCACCACTTCGATTGTAAACTCCGTGAATTCTATGAATGTTGCCAATCTCAATATGCCCATTACACTTCGGGGAGGAGCTCAAATTATACCTGAACCTCCCCAGCATGTGGCAAATATTAAAAATGAATCCATGTTAGAAGATGTAGATGATGATGAAGATGATGGTAATGAGATGGAAGACGAAAACTTACATAGAAGAAATAGAGGTACTAATAAAGGTGAAACATTCCCCCATCCGGCATTTCCATCGCGGAAAGCACCAGCTGGTCTCTCAGTCACCCCACTTTCTCCTATGTTGAGCGATATTAAGAAAGAAATTTCCACGCCTCATGGGAGTATGGGAGTTAACCAACAGCAGGTGCCCATTTTAAATGCCTCGGAATTTGTATCAATACCTTCTTCACACATAAAACACGAATCAATGTCCATAGCTGGAGGACATACTACTATTACTTCCTATAGCCGCGATGTCATTGAAGGTTTATCAAATCTCTCCTCTGATACTAATACAAGTGATGACGAAAGATTGCCAGTAAGGGGACCCACGGGTACACTACAAATTCCTGGTGTCCCAGCAGCAATAACAGCTTTGCCTCGCTCCCCACCTATGGTGCAAAAGACTCAAATGTTAAATTCAGTTACTATGATACGGTTAGATCCTATTAATTCATCTCCGACTGCACATTTAAGTCGACCACCTCCTCCGCAATCCAGAGCTAAAAAACCCAGAAAAAAACTGAAACAGCAAACTAGTGCCACGGTAGCGACGGATACCAGTGACGAGGAGCAAGATGACGTAACAAAACGTTTAGTTAGTCCGGCAGCTAGTGGCACAACTAGTGGAATTACAAGTGGAGTTGTGGCTGGTCCCAAAAAAGGTCGAGGAAGACCACGTAAAACTACACCCAACCAAAGTGGAAACATAAGTTCAGCATCGTCAGCCTCGGCTTCTGCTAAAGGACCAACGTTAACCGCCAAAAAAGATATCAATAAGAAACCCGCCTCTACTACAGCCACAGCAACCGCTCGAAGACGAGCTTCAAGACTTAACTCATCAAATTCTTCTGCTCAAGACCTTAATTCTACCACCCCTACTAAACAAGCAATTGTACAAGCTCCAATAGAACTAATACAAACAACACAAGTAACAACGCCGGTTTCTGTTAAGGAACAAGTACATACTGCAAACGCCACTAGCGACGATTCATCCTCTTCAAGTGAGTCATCAACATGTTCTATGTCAAAATCATCTTCGTCTATTTCGGATTCAGATGTAGAAGAAACAACCAACAAACAACCTATAATAACTAACACTTCCTCATCGGAAGACGAAGGAACAAAACCAAATGGCAGTGCAAAATCCAAAACTTCTGGATCTGGGGAGCATAAATCCGCACCACCAAAGCGAATAGTAAAAAAATTGAATACGCGAAAATCATCGCTTGAAGATTTATCAGCCCCCTTAACAGCATCCACAAAGCCGCATGATATGTCAATGTCCTCCTCATCATCATCGTCATCATCTGAATCGTCAGCAGAAGATTTCAGTCACCTTCCCAATGCATCAACTTTAACTGGAGGGTCTTCACAACAACCTGCTACCTCTATTGGTGCAGGCAGTTCTTCCCAACGTTCTGCGAATCATCAATCACCGCATAAAGTGGCAAGTGCCTTTTTTTCGGAATCGAGTGGTGAGGAACGTTCTGATTCAGATTCAGGCGAGCCTCGAAAGGAAAAGGTAAAATTTTCAGTGACGTTGTACGATATTCAAGAAATTTCGATTAATTTTAATTTTGTATTTTTAGAAACTTAAACGTGATAAACCAAAAAGTGATAAAAATAAAATAAGTACGCTGACCCGTATATTCAAATCGTCAAATGAAGGAGGTGCTAAAAAACAGGGCCAAGTTCTTATAGTGGATCAGTCAGAAGACCAACAACAACAGCAAATGCACCAACAACAGAAGCATATATCTCCAGCATTAAGACTGTCTCAAGAAAATCTGTCCGCAGTACACAATTCCCTACAAAATACTCCAACAGCACAATCTCCACGTTTAACACCTGGTGGTCATATGAGATCACCACGTTCTTTAAACATGACACCTCTCGCTTCTCAGGTTTTAGCAGCTGGTGCAATGGCATCACATCGCACACCTGATCGTAGTACGACGAGTGCCGAAAGAAAGTTACAACAACGTATAAAGACACCAACCAGAACGCCTACTCGCACGCCACCAACCACAAGGACACCAACTCCAACGCCTGCTGTTGCAGCTACATTGCATCATCCAAACCCTTCTCCCTCACCATCATCTACGACGCCTTCTCATCTTCATCAACAACACTTAGCTCTTTTACAACCTCCGCCACCAACTTCCTTAATATGTAAAATTGATCTCTCTAGATTGTTGAATGTACCCGAGGAGTGGCAAACAAATGCATATCGTTTGTATGGTCATGCTCCTGGCCATCAGCAAAATCATTTGACACCAAGCGCTGGACGCACTCCAATATATGATCATGAAACAATACTCAATGCTGACCTGCAGTCTTGCAACAACCAAATGCGTTTAAAATCCGCATCAAGTGGTAATATTAGTGGTGGTGGCAGTGGCAGTGCGACTCCTAGAAGTACGGGCAATCGGACCCCTATACAAATTGCCTCCACTATCTCATCGGCCTCCGAAAGAGAACTTTCTCACTCAAGGGAAAATCTCCACGACTTGGCCAAAGAAAACTGTAATTCCGGTCGCATGAGTAGTCGTTCGACAGATGGCAGCATATGTGGTGGCGGTTCGACGCCGAAGGAACATTTGCTACCTCCCAATGGATACAATTCTGCTGCAGCAATGATTAGAGGTTATAATTCCCCTAATCCTACATTGGGTGGAGTGAAACTGTTGACCGGTGTTAAACATGAACAAATAATAAAACATGAACCTGATTCAGAATATTCCTGCAATGAAACTAAATTTAAAAGTGATTCTTCTACAGATCCATCACTCATAAAGCAAGAACTTTTAATACTCAAACAAGACTATAAACCCAGTGATTTGTCGGAAAAATCATCACTGTGCTCACCTAATGACTTACCCATGGAACCGAAACCAAGGCGTAAACGCAGCACCAGCTCAAGTTCCAGTCCTTATAAAGAGAAAAAACGGAAAAAGGAAAAAGATTTAAATGCAATTGCGTTAACCGAAAAAGAGAAAATGGTTGTCAGTGGTAGTGATATTGTTAAAGAAAAGGAAATCGCGAACGATTCTTTAAAATCCGGAAAGGAACCCACTGTAACAGAAGATTGTTTAACAAATACAAACGGACAACAGCAGACACAGGTAATGGAAACTATATTTCTCACTATTCATTTATAGATTTTTTAAATTGTGTTTTGTTTTTTCAGAAGGATCAACAATTTTCCCATACAAATCACGATCGGTTATTAATGGAGAATAAATTTCAACAACAGCAAAGCACGGATAAATCAAATAGTCTTAATAACAATAATAGCAACAAAACAACAAACAATGTCTCAAACACTGCCAGTCCTGCGCATTTACAAACTACAAACAACCATTCAACCACAATCGCCTCAACCAATATGCCACCACCAGCCAATGTAGGACTGATACCAACTGTTACACAACCTCCTCAACCCGCAGCTGCATGCTTAAAGAATGTTCAAGTTTCAGCACCTGCTACATCTATGCCTTCAGTAGCTTCCTCATCGTCGTCGCCCGCCGCAATAGCAGGAGTCTCAAATTCATCTGTACCACCAACAGAAGCAGTGTCAGCAGCAGCATCAACCACCCAACCTCAAGTTATCTATCGTTCCTACTTTGAACGAGATGATGATGCTTTGAGTGATGAATTCAGGTTTGTTGCGGAATCATTTATTGATTATTCGAACTCCTCTACCTACTCCTCCAACAACAACAACACTACCAACTCCTCCGTTACGGCCAAATTTCAAAATTTATTGCAAATGTAAACCAACTGTTTTATGTTAATTTAACACATTTTTCTTTTTTTAATCCTTTAATTTCATTTCAACATTTACAAAGTTAACATTAAACAGTTAACAGAAAAAATTTCTTGTGTGTTAAACGATTTTCTCTCCATGAATATTAATGAGAATTGTTTTGAATTATTTTCCATTTGCAGCAAGGACGGTAAGTTTTTGCAAGAGGCTGTTCATCGCAAGCATGCGGCAGATCGTGAGCAGAACACTTTCAACCAAGTGACTTTATACTTAGAGGCTGTGGTTTACTTTCTTCTGTCTGGCGCTGCAATGGAACAACATAGTCGTTCTGAAGATGCAGCTTGGACTATGTACAAGGATACCTTGTCATTAATTAAGTGAGTAATGTGCAAATATTTATATTAATAATTAACAACATAAAAAAACAAGATTTTACCTTTAAAAAGTGATATTCGGGATTATAAGTATTTATCCATAAGTTAAATTTATGTATGTATATGTACATATATGTATGTATAATGTTATGTGAGATTTCAACCCCAATAAATTGTAGTACGTAACACTGCACTACACGCTATTATACGTTAATAAACTGAAGAAAATTTAAAATATTTTTGTCGTTTTTCAAAAATAAGTTAGATTCTGAAACTTACAAACTTTTTCACCTGCTATAAGGTTTTAAGATCAACAAACATTTTATGAAAAATAAATCGAGTTTCTAACTCTTTTGGCTTATATCATGTTTCGGATACTAAGATCAAGCACTAAGGACTAAACTAGTTTATTTTGTATGTTCAGTTTCAAAGTCTTATTTTATGTTTTCCTTAATTTAAATTTCAGATTCATATCTTCTAAATTTAGACATTTACAAGTTTCTTCAGCGAATCAACATGATACTCATAATAAAGTTGCTATATTAAGGTAAGATAAAATTTATTATAATTACTTATTACTGCTATTTACGTTACTGTTTTTGTTTACAATTTGGACACATGACGCGAATATCGACGTTATTTGTAATTTTTTGCCATTTTGATTAATATTCATATTTTTTAATAATTAACTTCTATTATTTAAATTTACTTTATATAGTCTACGTTGCCAGTCTTTGATCTCTTTAAAGTTGTTTAAACTTAAAAGAAATTTTTGCCGTCAAATCAACAATATTTGTTCGGATTTCTTCAAATCGGGTAAAGGCGATATTATTAATGGCAATACGCCTTCATCAATTTCACCTTCTAATTCGGTAGGTTCACAGGTGAGTTTAATTTCATATTTATTTAAGAACAATTAATAAATATTTAATTATAACGTGTTGTATTTATTTTATTTCAACTTTAGGGTTCTGGTTCCAATACTCCACCCGGTAAAATAGTGCCTCAAGATATACACTCAGCTTTATGTCAGCAAAACCAATATTTTACTTATTTATCTAGTAGTCATGAATTATGGGATCAAGCCGATCGTTTAGTTAGACAAGGGAATCACACCGGTAAGTCAAATGACTTCTTAGAGTTTATTGTCCAAATTTATATTAGTTATGTCCTATCACGATTTGGAGTTATATGCCACCACAATGTCTTTTAAAAATTGATGTATATAAAAGTAATATAAACAAACAACAAAAACATATATATGCCCATGTCACGAGCAATTCTGGGGTATTTAATTTTAAATATAATATTTAATTTATTTTTAATATAAAGTTAAATACTTTTTTAGCGAGGTGTTTTTTAAAACATTATTTAAATCCGGAAAAAATCATATTTTTTTAATTTTCTTACACTTTACTTTAAAATGATGGAAGACCTTTCAAAATTCGACAAAAACCACAGAAAGGGTTAAAAATTATAATTAAAAATCTGTTAAGCAGTAAAGTTTTGATAAAATTTTATATAAATAAAATAAGTTAATCATATTTCAAGGTATTTTCAATTCCTAGATATTTAGAGGACTCTTTGCCTAGAATTGGACAAATATTTTATACATAAACTTTTAAAATTAATATTATTTATTTAACATACTAACCTGTTTACTTACACATTAATTAGAGACATTTATTTATGTTTTGTTTTTCTATTTCAGATTTCTTTATTGCATTGGACCATGAAAATGGTCCTTTGACGTTGCACAGCAATGTTTATGAAGTCTTTCGCTATGTCCAGGCTGGTTTAAAAAAACTGAAAGATGAAATGCTTATACAATAATAAAAAACGTTTGCAAATATTTCTTGCATGTTGTCTTACAAAGTTTTAACAAAAAATTACTTTTTTTATATACACAAACAAACACTAGTTAACATCACTTCTTAACTTATTGAGTTTTTATAATATTATTTAATAATCAAATCAATAAGTAAATAAACGATTTTCAACTTTTCTTAGGGTATCTAAAATATAATTCAGTGCTTTTTGTTAATGCTAAACAAAAAAAGAAAAATCAATTTCCTAGATAAGTCATTATTATTGTTACATATACATAAATTTATAATTAAATAAATAAACACAGCAAGGAACTTATCTTCAATAACATTAAAGTGTTATTACATTTTATTAAGAAAATTTGATTATGCTGAATATAATTGAACTTTAGATTTTTAAAGAATGACATGTTAAAAATTTTATTTTAAAATAAAAAAAAGAAACATTAAATTTTATTTATAAAGTCATAATTATTTTAATTAACAGAACCATTTAAAAAACTCTGCTTTTTTAAGAAAATATATGCTCAAAAAACTATGTTAAATATACATACGATATACATATATAAATATATTTTATTTTAATTTTTAAGTTTTTTTTATGAATTGTTATTTTCTTTTTAATTATTAAATTAAATACTTTAAAGGGGGTTTTCTTTGAATTTAGTTAATTTTTAAAAATTTAGTTAAATCTTGAAAAAGAAAGCTTTTAGAAAATTCCTTTGTTAATAAGTTTTTCTTAAGTTTGTATTGAAATTAAGTCAATATAGAATGTATAATTATTACTTGTAAAATTTATATCATTAACGCATAAATTATTATAAATTTAAAATAATTATTATTTATCACTTTATTCTTTTAATGTATAATTTTTCATATGGCAATCTATACTAGAAATTGTTATATAAAACAACAAAAGCAACACCAAATGATTTTATAAATTCTAATTATATTCGAATTTCCATTGGCTTTCAACTCTTATTATTACAAAAGAGAGCAAAACAAGTAACATAATCTTCAACTTTCTTCCTTAAACACTCTTCCTAAAATATTTATTAAAAACTATTTTTTTGATATACATATATTTGTGTATGCGATAGAACAGTTTTTTAATACATAAGTTTATTTAATTCAAAGACAATTAACAAACAAGCAATCAGCGATTACATATTTTGCTAGTTTGAAATGTATTTAATTACTTCGTATATATTAAGTACATATTCATTCAAAGTTGTAGTTTTTCACTTCTACTCGTAACATCTTCAGTTAAGGCCAGGTATTTAATTATTTAAAACATTTGTAGCTTAAGTTTAAATCGATTTAACCGTTTCTAATTGTTTTTAAGCATGTTAATCTATCATAGCCTATTATTAAATTTACTTGAGAATTTTTTATTATTAAATAATATCGAAAATTGTTTTATTATTATTTCTGTTTTATTAATTAATAGTTATGATTTTTCCTTTTTTCCCTGTAAAACATTTCTTAGTTATTAATTGCTAAATGGTTACGTTCTTTTTAGTTTATTATTTTAACTAAAAACCTATTAAAAGAATCACACAAAATAATTATTACAAAAAAATCATTAAAAAATGTTTAAAAAATTTACATCTTGAGTTTTATTTCCCTTATTTCGTTTTTTTATAGACATGAACCGAATTTTAAACTTTTTGAAAATTGAAAGGATGGTTGCAATTTGTTGTAAATGGCAAACTATCACATTATTATTTCTATTCAAATATATTGTAATTTTGTTTAGTTTCCAATTAAAAATAAACGGCGCCATACAGAATAAAAAAATTGTAAGTAGAACTAACATTTTCAGCATAAATTGAATTTGTGTTAATAAAATCTATAGATATTAAATTTTTATATTTGCTAACTGGTTTAATTAATTTAAACCATCTTTATTAATATCATATCTTTGACTTTTTCAATTAAAAAACCAGAGGAGTGTTATTATCATTGGATTGTAGATTTTAGTTGCTTCTAGTTGGATCCCTAATCAAAAATAATATTAAGGGATCATAAGTAAGAAAGAAAGCTTGAATATTAAATTATAAGAGTGTCACTCATAATCATTTATCAAAGGTTTTCAGAAGAATTTTTTATGAAAATTTATTAAATAAACCTTTGATTAAAGTCTTAAATATTTATATAGTAGTTTTTTTCCTCAATAACTCATAATTGGAGGGTAATTGAAAACTACAAAAATTTTATATATTCACTCAGATTCTGTATTTCGATTATGTTTTCGCATTCAGTTATGCAACGATCGAAGAAGGCTATTTCAACAAAAAACTGAATCGTAAGAAAAAGAAGTATCAATTCCATTTCGTATTCTGCATTACGATAGTAACTACGTATTTTGTAAGTTGTTTAAGTGACGGAGAGTCGAATCGAAATGCGGAATACCAAAATTGCCAAATGGTAAAATTTCGATACGAATTGATGTGCAAAATAGATGTGATTAAATACATACACATTATGTATGTATGTGTGGAGAATATCTCCACCAAATTCAAAATAAATTTTTAAATATGCACTATGGAAATGCACTACGTCTGATGATTAGCTTGAGATCATAATGCGTTTAAAACGCATAAATAAAAATATAGTTTAAGGAACAAATTAAAATCTGAATACTCATCGCATCAACCATTTTTATGCATTTTCGAACAGGTGTGTCCCGAGGAACAGCTTTTTTAAGAATTTCATGTAGGCATATAACTCAATCGATGCGTATTAATGAACATGAGAAAAATAAAAAAATATTTTTTCGGAATGGTCTTCAGTTCCCTACCAGCGATTGAAAATCCTGACCTCAGTCTAATTTTTAAAAAATAAAATATTTTCTATTTTTTCGAAACTGGTCTCAAAAATTTTGTTTTTGAACTGTAGAATAGTTGTAGAATATTTTTGGTCCACAAAATATTGTTTTCGCTTTTTATTGAAATGGATGTCAAAATTATCGTAATTTATAGCTTATACAGAAAAATATTTAAAAAATAGTTTCGCATTTGGTTTAGTTCATTTCAGAATTTTTTGAAATTTATACGCCCCTTATAATACAATCAAATTTGTTTTGCGGACCAGAATTAGACTAAAAAAAATTTTAATTATTTTTCTCCCGACAAGCTCAAAATTAAAACAAATAACTTTTTAACACCTAATTCGAAAAGAATGCTGAAATTTTTTTTGAACATATTGTAATGAGATCATGATTTTCAATCGCAGGTAGGGAACTGAGGACCTTTCCTTTGTTACAACATTACAATTTTTAAAATTTTTATTGAAATAAAACGTGAAAATTTTTGTTATTGACCAGACATTGTAATATAGAACGATATTTTATCTTTGCCAGAACATGCAGATTTTTGGCAAAAAATTTCTTCATGAAAAATGGATAAAATTGTCAAAGGATTTGTATTTAAAAATTTATTGAAATAATATAATGAAATAATAATTTATTGAAATAACATGTGAAGTTAAAGTTTTTAAATTTGATTTAAATTTCAATAGAAATTTGTATATCCCAAAATGTCGTTATCCTAAAATGTTGTTACTGAAATAATATACATTTTAAGTTGACATTGAGCAAAAATCTGGTATTTTATGAAATAAATCCAAGTATTTTTCAAAAAATATTTTTTATAATTTCTTTTAAATAACGGCTTTTAATTTCTCTTTTCTTTATAATTTGTGTTAAACATTTCAATGAATTTGTAATAAATTATATGAATCGATCATGACTTTATTTTCCCAAAACATTTGCATTCCAAATAAGAAACATGACGGATTTTTTATTTGTTTCACTTATTTTTTTATTTTCACTTATTTTCTTTAATATTTCATAACCCATTGCATGTACATTATTTATTAATACGTTTCAATATTTTATAGATATTTTCTATATATTAACGTATTTTTAATATTCATAAAAGAAATGTTAAAAAAACAAAAAACTGAAAGAAAACATCATCAACCAAGGAATTTATTCTTAAATATTATTACCTTAAGTCAAACAGGTTTATAGTATTTAATAAATTTAAACTTTTTCTGTATTAGATATTTTTTATAAAAATATCTAAACATATTTTAAAAAGCACATTTTGTGATATACATTCATGTGTTATTAGAAATTCGCTGGTTTTACGCAAGTCGTATATCAATACTACTATGTATATGTAAATACGTTATACAATACATATTGTAATTATAAACCTCTTGATACAATTCTAAATTAAATAATCAACAATTTAGTGTTAAAATACCAATTTTACTTTAATTTTGTAAAAAGTATATAAAATTAAAATTAAACATTGAATAATATTTATGTACATTAATATATTATATTGAACGAATAAAACAAAACAATTGAATTAGAAAATTAACTATAAAATTGATCAAATCAAATTTAAGAGTAAACAATGATTTCAATATAAACAATTATTTTATACATATGTAAGTGAACAAAAAATCAAATTTTGAACTTAACTTAAATAATAAAAAGAAAATACAAATAAAATGGTGAAATCTCAGTCATTTAAATATATATTATTAAAAATGCATATTGTTAAGTGTGTATTAACATTTTAGGGTAATTGTATTAAAGACGACGAATAGCGGACACATATATTTTTATATTACATACTTGATATAAAATACTAAAAAAAATATAGTAAAAATGTTTGGTTAAATTTTTGTTTGTTATAAATTTAAGTCATAATTACGAAAATATAATTCACAATTGCTTCGAAAATTCCCTAAGACCCTACCAACAATCTCCATCTCCCCCATCCTTCTCCACACAAGAGATAAAACTTATTTTGTACATATTATATATTAATATATAATATATTAAAACACAAAAAAAAAACATATAATTCCCATTTAAAACAATTATTATATTAAAAGTCTACTACCATTAAACAAAATTATTATTAAATCTAATATTTAAGTTTGTAAAAATCAAGACATGACAAGAAGTAATATTTAACAAACAAAAATCAATGATTTACTCGAAAAAATAATGTAGTTGTTTAATCAGAACAAAAATAAAATTAAAAGAATATATAAATTGTAAAAGAATAAATTCTACCTGCAAGTTTAAAGCTTCGTATGTAATAAATTTTTGTACTCAATACATTTATGCCGAAATTTTCTTTATTCACGATTGAGAATTTTTATTAATCAAATCTTTTCCTTAGTGCAAATACATACTTTGTTTAGGTTATGGTATTTATGATAAACAATAAGTGTCTAGCTTAGAAAATAATTCATAGTTATTTCAGTTTTCCAATATAAAAGCAAAGATTTGCTGTTATAAAATTTCCATCATTGTTGAAATGCGTAAAATATTTTCGGTATTATAAATTTTCAAATCAGAAATCATTTTATTAACGACCGGCAGTTTTATTGATACATATTTTGGTCTTTTTTTTGTAGTGAAACATTGGCATCACTTAATATTCAACATTTTGACACCTATTTTGACGGCGTTATAAAACATATG